TGTGTGTGTGTGTGTGTGTGTGTGTGTGTGTGTGTGTGTGTGTGTGTGTTGTTGTTGTTTTTTTAAGTAGTTAATACTTACTGTTTCCTATTTCCCACAAAACCAAGACAACAGAACTGTTACTCCTGCTAGACTCCTTCCTCCTTACCTGGGCTCCTGCAGCCCCTGGCTGGTGCCTCCCTTTGCTGCCTTCCGTGTTCATTGTCGTCCGGGCAATCTCCTCCAGGTGCACACTGCCATGTGGTTGTCTCTCCCGGGCAGATGAGATTGTGGTGATTTAGACGGGCTCTCCCTTTCCAGCCTGATTTCCCCCTGCTGCCCCAGTGAGCATCCCAATCTTCACAAATTATACCCTAGGAAAAGCATCCGCCTGCACCTCACTCCTGCCTCCCCGTGTCTTTTCCTTTGTTGCAGAGGCTTTCTTTGCCCCTGTTGTTTCACCTGCTTTCAGCAGCTTCTGCACAGTTATCGTTAGCTCTTTGAAAGCAAGGACCATAACTGTCTCCTTAGAGTTTGATAAATGAATGATGGATGAATTGATCTGTTTCTGAAATATCTCTTCAAGATGTGCCATTGATGAGTCCTTTGTGGAGATACCTTCAACATCATATATAATTTAAAGGAGGAATATTAACTTATACAATTTGATTCAAGTAACTTATTAAAAAATGTTATTTGGCTTTTAAAATATGGGTTTATCTACACCTGTCATAAACTAAGTTTACTACAGGTTGTACTTTTTCTGTATAAAAACAAAATAATTGAGTGCCATCACTTTCTGTTATGAATAAAATCACTGTTCTGATTTTCTTATTACTGAAATAATGGGCTTATTTTGAATCAAATTTAAGTACACAAAACATGGGAACATCCAAAAACTTCTAGGTCATCTCTCTCAAATTTTACTGTTAAAATTTCAGGAAGTTAAGAGATTCATAAGATTTAAAATTCATGGTGTTTTTTTTTTTTTTTTTTCCACATGCCAGTCGTTAAAAGTCCAGTATGTTTAAGAAACCACCTTCATTATTGACCAAAAGATCCCCACTAATCTTAACAAATTGCTAAGTATTTTCAACTTACCCATTTTTAGCCAGGGACATTTTTAACAATTTAGCGAAAACATTCATTTCAGAATGTAACAAAATCCAAATCTTTAAAGCTTCCTTAGCATTTAATAGTACTCTTAAATGTTTGGAACTTCCATAGATGACTTTACTTTTAAAATAACCTATTAACTTCCAAATGAAATTTTGTGCTCAGAAAAGAAGGATGGGGCTGAAAAGTTCAGAATCACTCATTTCCTTATATGGCGAGTAAAGTAATCAAACATGCTTCAGTGAAAAGGAAATTTTTCAGTTTCTTTTACTGGAAAATATGAGAACAGAGTTCACTGTTGGCTGCCAAGTAATTCCTCCTCATCCTGGTGAAAGATATTTCTAGTAGGGTTTTTTATTTTGTGTGCTTCTTTTTACTATCTGGATGATTTAGAAACTTATGAAACCTTTACACATTTTTCTACTTGTTGGTTTGTTCAGCTGTTGCAATGTAGAACTTGTTGAAGAGGAAAAAAAAACCGTCAACATTGCTGAAGTGATGAACTTGGAGCAGAGGTGAAGAAGGCAGCACAGTGCCTTGGTTAGGTGACAGGAGTGTGTGTTGGGCAGCCTGGATTTCCACTCCCAGTTCTTTCTCTTAATGTATCTTTTGAACAACTTATTTTATTTCTCCAAGCCTCAGTTTTCCCATCTATAAAATGGGCATGACAGTATCAGACAATTAAATCTGAAAATTAAATGTCAATGAATGTAAACTACTTAGTACAATACCTAACACATAGTACGTCTTCAGATATTAAGAACTTAAATATTTTTCTACATGTAGGTTTAGCATTCTAGTAAAATCATGACACTAGAGGTATTTGGTGTGTGTGTGTGTGTGTGTTTTTTTTTTGGAGACAGAGTCTCTTGTCTTCCAGGGTGGAGTGCAATGACATGATCTCGGCTCACTGTAACCTCTGCCTCCCAGGTTCGAGCAGTTCTCCTGCCTCAGCCTCCCAAGTAGCTGAGATTGCAGGGACCCACCACCATGCCGGGCTACTTTTTTCTATTTTTAGTAGAGATGGGGTTTTTCCATGTTGGCCAGGCTGGTCTCGAACTCATGAACTCAGGTGATCTACCCACCACAGCCTCCCAAAGTGCTGGGATTACAGGCGTAAGCCACCACACCTGGCCACTAGAGGTGAATCATAGGTAAGGAGAAAAGCTTGGATAAATGTTCTGATAAGAACTGGAGCAATTGGCATTTGCCATTGGCTGTGCATAGGGAATCACTCTCACTGGGTAGTTGTTGAGCAGCATACAGTTTTAAGGTTGTTTCAAAGACCTTAGTCTTGTTTAGATTATCCCTTGACTAGAGGGGATCCAGGAGGTCTTTCCCAAAACATCCCTTAGAAATGGTCCTAAGCAGCTGGGCGTGGTGGCTCACACCTGTAATCTTAGCACTTTGGTAGGCCAAGGTGAGCAGATCACGAGGTTGGGAGTTCCAGACCAGCCAGGCCAACATAGTGAAACCCCCATTTCTACTAAAAATACAAAAAATTAGCCAGGTGTGGTGGTGGGTACCTGTAATCCCAGCTACTCAGGAGGCAGAGGTTGCAGTGAGCCAAGATCCATTGCACTCTAGCCCTGGCGACAGTGCAGGACTCCGTCTTAAAAAAAAAAAAAAAGATTCTAGGCTTCCTCCAAACATGTTCATCCAGCCACAGTCAGGGTCTTCCAGTTGAATGTGGAGGTGCTGGCATCTTTTGAACCACAGATTCCATTTCTTCCTCTGTAAAAATGGAAGCAGTGTCTTCTGTTATGAGAAGAAGTTGAATCCTATTAGCCAAGGACTCCAGAAATTGATGTGGCTTAAGCAAATGGGGGTAAAAAGGAGAGGAATTTATTTAAAAAATAAATAGCGTATATTGATGTCTCATGAAACGTATACAGGGGACTACAGTTGAGTCTCAGGAACAGAATGGAACCAGAAATTTGAAAGCCTTCGAGACTGTCTCCACCTTTGCCTTCCCCTCTACTTCTGAGACTCATGCCATCTGGCTCTGCAGTCCACGTGTGGAAGAGCATGCCTGCCAGCATTCCAGAGAAAGCATTGAGTCTTCCTGCATCCTCAGCCTGTCCCCTCCCCTCCCCATTCCAGCTGGGTCAGATACTGACCCCTGGACCAGCTGGGGGTAGGAAGGTGGCAGCGATTGAACAGGGCTCCCAGAAGCCCATTCCTTACAGCCTTGCAAGTGAGGCAGAAGGAGGGATTTCAGGCTGGCTGGTGGCTCAGGACGTCAGCTCTCCCTTGTGGTCAAGAATGAAGCTCTCAGAAGTCCTGGGACTTAAAAACATAAGAAAAACATTCTTGAAGTTTACCGACAACCCAAATCTGCGAAATAAAAAACTGGAGAAAGGCGGGAACCCTGAGTTTGTATTTCCAACGGACTTCAGGTGATTCTTGTTCTGACTGGAGCTTCATGCACCCAGGATGCCAGGCCTGTGCTCAGCACATGCTCAGGTGCTGAGCTGCGGTTACCGGAACTGTTACGTTACCACACCCGTCACAACGGAACATGGAGAGAAGAGGGGCACCTCTGTGGTCTTCCTGAAATGCATGGATACGTTTGTGTCCTTCCAGTTGACACCTGACATTGTTTTATGTTTGTTGACCCCGGTACACGTTCTGCTTCTCAAAGAAGAGCCACGGCAGCTCAAAGGTGACTTCATGTCCTTTGGAAATGCGTGTTCCACTGGCTTTTCAGTTTCCTGAAATAGCTTCATCATCCAGAGGCAAAGGCTCCCAACATCCTGAGGCGTGTGTCATGGGGAGGGAAGGGCACACTAATTTTAGTTGCTTTTCCAAAGGCGCCTTCTAAAGCCCAGCTTTGATTGGGCCCTGCTGGTGGCTTCTCCATGGTGCCCTCGTGTAGAGGGCTGTGGAGCGTCCCTGTCTCACACAGCCATTTTGTCCTTCCCACGCACTCGTTCTCTCTCACGCTTGTTCTCACACACACACTTGTTCTTTCCACACTTGTCTGCATACTCATTCTCTCACACCTGTTGTCACACATGCTTGTTCTCACATACGCTCGTTCACACACACTTGTCTGCACACATTCACACCTCACACATGCTTGTTCTCACACTTGTTCTTTCACACTTGTCTGCACACTCACTTGTTCTCACATGCTTCTTTCACACTTGTCTGCACACATTCTCAAACTTGTTATCACGCTTGTTCTTTCACACTTGTCTGCACACTCACTTGTTTACATGCATCTTCCACATTTGCACACTCATTCTCACATGCTTGTCCACACTCATTCACACTTGTTCACACACGCTTTTTCTCACACGTCCTCACACTTGTCTGCACACTCATTCTCACTTGTTCACACATGCTTGTTCTCACATTCACACACTTGTTCTCATTTGTCTGCACACTCATTCACACTTGTTCTCACTCCTCACATGCTTGTTCTCACATGCTCATTCACACACGTCTGTTCTCAAACTTGTCCTCTCACACTTGTCCACATTCTCACACTTGTCCACACATTCTCTCATTTGTTCTCACATACGTGTTCTCACACACATGCTTGTTCTCGCACTTGTCCACACTCACTTGTTCTCACAGTTCTTTCACACTTGTTCTCATTCTCACACTTGTTTCACACTTGTTCTCACATGTTTTCATTCTCACCTCATGCAAACATTTTCACACTTGTGCTCACGTGCTTGCTCTTCCATACTTGTTCTCACACACTTGTTCTCATGCACTAGTTCACACCCATTCTCACACTTGTCCTCACACACTCCCACTTGTTCTTTCACACATTTAGTCATTCTCTCACACTTGTGTTTTTGTGCTCTTCTCCTTCATTCCACTTGTTCTCACACACACTTGTTCTTTCATACTTGTGTTTTCTTTATTCTCATTTCACATTCTCATTCCTTGTCATACATACATGTTCTTTCACAGTCATTCTCACTTTGTTCTCACACACTCTCACTTTCACACTAGTTCTCATTCTCACATTTTCTCACTTGTTTCACTTGCACTCGTTTCACACTCCTCACACTTTATCACACACTATTCTCACATGCTGTTTTCATACACTCACACTTGTTTCACTCACATTCTCACACATTCTCATACTTTCACATTCACTTATTTCACGCTCACGTGTTTTCACACACTCCTCACACCTATCACACTTTGTTCTCACATGCATTCATACTTTTTGTCACATTCACACTTATTTCACACATAGTGGTTCTCACACTCCTCACACATATCACACTTTGTTCCCACATTCTCATACTTTCACATTCACACTTGTTACTTTACTCATACTTGTTCTCACACACTCCTCACAGTTACCACACTTTGTTCACACACACTCATTTTCTCTCACATTCACTTATTTCACACTTACACTTGTTCTCACACTCCTCATACCTGTCACACTTTGTTCTCACATTCTCATACTTTCATATCCATACTTAATTCTCACACTTGTTCTCACACACTCCTCTCACCTATCACATTTTGTTCTCACACATCCTCATATTGTCTCCCACATTCACACTTGTTATTTCACACACTTATTCTCATACACACCTGTCACACTGTTCTCACATACATCCTCATACTTGCATTCACACTTATGTCACTCTCACTTGTTTTCGCACACTCCTCCTATCACACTTGGTTCTCACACATTCTTATACTTTCTGTCACATTCACAATTATTTCACGGTCACACTTGTTCTCACACTCCACACCTATCACACTTTGTTCTCACACATTCTCATGCTGTCATTCACACTTATTTTACACTCAAACTTGTTCTCACATACTCCTCACACATCACATTTTGTTCTCACACACATTCTAGAATGTTTCTCACATTTACACTTGTTATTTCACACACTTGTTCTCACACACACCTTTCACACTGTTCACACACAGTCTCATACTTTGATTCACACTTGTTTCACTCACACACTCCTCACACCTATCACACTTTGTTCTCACACATTCTCATACCTTCACGTTCACACTTGTTATTTCACACTCACACTTGTTCTTACACACTCCACAGCTATCACACTTTTCTCACACACTTTCTCATACCTTCACATTCACACTTATTTCACTCACACTTGTTTTCACCTATCACTGTTCTCACACACACTTGTTCTCTTGCACTTGTTCTCACATACATTCTGTCTCACCCTTGTTCTCACACTTGCTCTTACATTCTCACACACTTTCACACTCTTGTTCTCACACTTATTCTCACACTTATTTTCCCTTTCACGCTCATTCTCACATTTGTTCTTTGTCCCTCCTTCTCACACATACTCGTACTTAGCCTCTTACACTCTTGTCCTCTCACACATTCTCTGTCATACACAACGTGTTCTCTTTCTCTCTTCTCACTCGCTCCCTCCTTCATTACACCCTCTGGCTCTTGCTCCTTCACCATTCACCATGCTCAGGAACAGACCTTTTAGTGTCTTCAACATGGGGACCCCTTTGCCTGGTGCCTTCTTTCTTGCATTAAAATCTCTTTTCCTTTCAACACCGAGTCCTTTCCTTCCACAGTTCCTGCTCCTGGCTCCCTGACGAGTTTCTCTAAACTTCAGCAGCACTTAAATATATCTCAGTCTTTTTAGCAAGTCTCACATGGGCATGCCCTCTGTCACCTGACAAGCTTATGCTAAAACTGCCTTGTTTTGTGTTTTTAATACTCCATAGTTGATAGTTGATATTCTTTTTGAGATTTTATTCTAGACAAAGTAATGAAGTTGTTTTTCTGAAATGATTCTAAGATAAATTGTCGAAAATAGTCTCTGCTTGTTTGGTCAGTTGTGCTTTGATTATAGATGTTCCTCATCTGAGATTAAAGTGGGACAGAACTTCAAAAGTAAAAGGATAAATGTTGACTGTGATGCGTACGTGGCACATGTGCTAGTCCTTGATAGTGGTGAGAAAGATCTTCATTGCTCAAAGGGATTTTCAGGGAAGGAAGCCCTCAGGTGGTGACTGTAGTCACCATCACGTTGTCTGGTGGCAGGCGATGGGCTTGGAGCCAGCTGGCAGCTTCTGTGCATTGTCTGACTTAGTCCCCACAGGACTGCCTTTAATCTCGTTCCCATATTACTGGTGAGGAAAAGAAAGTCCAGAGAGTATCTTTAAAATGGAAACTTTGGCAGGGATAGTTCTAGTATTGAAATTTATTTTCTAAAATCTCCAAAATTGTATTTTAAAGTTGAGAAATTTTATTCTTTAATGGTCTGTCTAGTAGGTGGTCATTCTCAATGAGAGATTTGGAAATGGGTATTTAGGGTGTCAGAATAATGGGGGCTGGAGCTCCTATTGCCATTTAGTGGCAGAAACCAAGATGCTCACCATTTAAATGTCTTGTGCCTGTCAGTCGTGTGCAACAGAGAACAGCCCCACTCTAGAGCCAAGAACCCCCTGTTCAGAAGCTCAGCATAGCCCCTGTAAGCAAATACCACCCGAGTCAAGGTGGCTAGGCTTAGAAGCAAATACGGGCTGAG